GGCTGAGGCAGGAGAATTGCTTGAACCCGGGAGGCAGAGGTTGCAGTGTGCCAAGATGGCATCACTACACTCCAGTCTGGGCGACAGAGCGAGACCCCGTCTCAAAAACAAAACACAAAATATGCTCCCCCCGCCCCCTCTATTGAAGGACCCTTTACTCTTCATATTCGTCTCCTTCAACGGGCTCCACGCTGCTTTTCAGCCATACAGGGCACGTCTTCCGTAGGATCCCTCACTTCAGGAGAATGTAACAAAACCATTTCTATCCAGCACCCCACAGACCATCAAACTAACCAGGTTGAATACCAAGTTTCACCACAGGCTAACGGGTTGTTCCTCCAACCAGTTCGCTTTACAGCGCCCCCAGCAGTCACAGCTACCTCCTTTAATCGCTCTGTCTCCAACACACATCTCTATCCGTGGCTATCGATAACTGGTGCCACTTCAGATCGCATCAAATGTTCAAAGGTCGACTCCAAACACATCTTCACAATCATCAGATTGCGTCTACGCTGTCTACGCTGTCTGTTTGGAGCCAGGAACCCACCACAACCAACCAAAGGCCCTTAATCCACCTTTTTTCCCTTCATATCTCTACCTGCATTTCCGAAGCAGGCTTGTTTTTCCTGCGTGGCACCAACACTTACCTCCGCCTCCCAACCAATTGGACAGGCACCTGTACTCTGGCCCCCCTTTCTCCAGTCTTCGGAATAATTCCCCCAACCCATCCCTGCCGGTGCCTTCCACACAGCATGCCAACAGACATTGCCTTATTGGCTGTTCTGGGCATCAGCTCAGGCACTGGTTTAAGAGCTGGGGGATTAGCCACTTCACTCTCATATTTTAAGGCTCTCTCCACAGACCTATAAGAATCCTCAGAATACATAGCCAAGGGCCTTGTAAGAATTCAAGACCAGCTAGACTCCCTAGTGGGAGTAGTCCTCCAAAACCAGAGAGGACTCGACCTCCTTACAACAGAGAAGGGAGGTCTCTGCCTCTCTCCAGGGGAAGAAAGCTGCTTCTATCTCAACCAGCCAGGCTTGGTAAGGGATGCCGTCCAAAACTTAAGGAAAGAGCTCAAAGAATGAGGGAGCAACAAGAAAACCAAATCAGTTCCTGGTTCAATGTTCCTTACCAACAGGATCTCAGCCATCTCACAGCTGCCTCCCAGTAACACCTGAAGACGGTGCCACTCCTCCAGTCAATCCTAAACCAGCAATCTCATGGCCCCCTTTCAACAGGAAGTAGCCAGAAAAATCACGCCAGCCCATCTCCCTATCTCACCATAGAGTCTGGACTGATAGGACAAGACTGCTGCCATCTTAACGAGACTCCACCATCTTTTTTTTTTTTTTTTTTTTTTTTTTTTGAGATGGAGTTTCACTCTTGTTGCCCAGGCTAGAGTGCAGTGGCGCAATCTCTGCTCACCTCAACCTCCACCTTCTGGGTTCAAGCGATTCTCCTGTCTCAGCCTCCCGAGTAGCTGGGATTACAGGCACAAACCACCACGCCCGGCTAATTTTGTATTTTTAGTAGAGACGGGGTTTCTCCATGTTGGTCAGGCTGGTCTGCAACTCCCGACCTCAGGTGATCCGCCCACCTTGATCTCCCAAAGTGCTGGGATTACAGGCATGAGCCACTGGGCCCAGCCTCCACCATCTTAAAGTATCAAGTTTCCATGTCTGAAAATGTCAGCCCCGCCCATAGCTTCAACAGGGCATAGGCCCTAACTGCAACAGAGCCTAACAAAGTCCCCAGTAGTCATAACTAGCCAGCCTTTCCCCAACTCCTTCCCAATAGGATCTTCTTTCAAAGCGCACTTCCTCCACCCTACTCTTTAAAAAACCTCAGGTTGTAAGAGTAGCTTGCTCCAGACCCTGCCGGCCAGAGCCCTTCTCAGGTTTACTCTCAATAAATCTCCACCGTAGAGCTATCTTCTCCCTGATTCTTTCCTTCTTTTTTTTGAGACGGAGTTTCACTCTTGTTGCCCAGGCTGGAGTGCAGTAGTGCGATCTCCGCTCACTGCAACCACTGCCTCCCGGGTTCAAGTGATTGTCCTGCCTCAGCCTCCCTAGTAGCTGGGATTGTAGGTGTCTGCCACCACACCCAGATAATTTTTTGTATTTAGTAGAGATGGGGTTTCACCATGTCGGCCGGACTGGTCTCCAACTCTTGACAAGTGATCCACCCGCCTCGGCCGCCTAGTGTGCTGGGATTACAGGAGTGAGCCACTGCTACTGACCGCTTTCCTTAATCTTTCTATCCCAACAAGATCAAACCTGGAACTCCATTCCACCTGGGAGGTGAGAGGCCCAGGTGCCGTCCGTTTGTCCGGGGTGAGCGGGGGCTCAGTACATTTAACACAACAGCAAATTGGCCTCAGGTCTCAAAGTGGGGTTCGATGTCAGCTCTCAGGAGTTAGTTTCTGATGTGCACACAGCACATATAACTGAGCTGTATGCACACACACAAATCTGGGGCTAACTCTGCAGCCCTGGAAGGGGCCCTATGCCTCCCTAGGAAGGCAGAGAGTGTGGGGAGGAGGGAAGAGGGGGGCAGGGGTTAGTCCTGGGGCAGGGAGGGCGGTGCTGCCCATGGGAGCCACAGCCTGGGTGGGTGGAACCAGATGTGAGCTTCATACGCCTCCTTCCCTGCCAGCTCTATCTCTTCTGGAGATCTGGGAGCTCAGTGTTCTCGCCTCTGCCTCCCTGGGGGATTCTATCTGCAGCTCCTACCACCAACTCCCACTCCCCCACTCCTACCCAACTCCAGTGCCAGGTTCAGCAGGTAGAGGGGAGAGGGGAGGCCGAATGGGGGGCTCCCCCTGGAGGCAGCAGACGGGAGACCTGACCCTGCTGGGCCCAGCTTCTCAGCTGGTTTTCTCATCTTTCCTGGAGGGCTGGACTAAGCCTCCTCCTTCGTTCCTGAGCACCTACTATGTACTGGCCCCGTGCTAATGCTGTGGATACCTCTGTGGACAGGATAGGCTCACTGTATAGTGAAACAGACATGAATCAAAGAGACCCACAAATGTGTGCTATGATGGCGAGACTACAGGCAGCTCAGCGTAAAGGCCCTAAACCAGCCACAGACATCAGGGAAGGCTTCTGGGAGGAAGTGACATGGTTGAGTTGAAAGCAAAGGTTAGGGCTAAGGAGAGTGAGTGGAGGGAGGGGAAGAGTAGGGAGCAGCGGGAACTGTGAGCTGGTTTATATGAGGGGAGACAGAAGAAGGGTTTGCTGTTGAGGGAAGGGCAGGTAGATGTGGCAAAGGCAAAGTGGTGGCAGGGGGTCTGCTAGGGCCCTGGTTGAGTGGGGTCTCACAGGACCTGGGCGCCAGTAGAATTCAGACCACAATGTCCCCATCCCCTAGTTGAACAAACTCATAGGATGGGACCCAAAGAAGCAGGAGGGCCCGAACTCAGTGGCTCACGCCTGTAATCCCAGCACTTTGGGAGGCCAAGGTGGGTGGATCACCTGAGGTCAGGAGTTCTAGACCAGCCTGGCTAACATGGCAAAAACCCATCTCTACTAAAAATACAAAAATTAGCCGGGCATGGTGGTGCACACCTATAGTCCCAGCTACTCGGGAGGCTGAGACAGAAGAGTCAGTTGAACCCAGGAGGCGGAGGTTGCAGTGAGCCGAGATTGCACCACTGCACTCCAGCCTGGGAGATAAAGTAAGACGCCGTCCCCTACCCACCCCCTGCAAAAAAAAAAAAAAGCAAGAGGGCTTAGTTGGGGTTAGAAGAAAATCTCAGCCTGGATTTCAGATCCTACCATGAATGGACTGGCCAGAGACAGAAACAGAAATTGGAAGCTAGGCTCCGAAGACGCCTGATGGATAGGGCTGGCCCCAAAGTGGATGAGGAGTAGAAAGGGCCTGTGATCCACTCCCCTAGAGTATCCTTTCTTCCCACTACCTTAGTAAAACTCCTATGCAACCTTCAGGACCGAATCTAAATGCACCGTCTGCTGTAAAGACTTAACAGACCCTCCCAGGCTTTACCCCATCTCTGATTTCATTCACATTTCACCTGTGTCTTCTAAAACAGTAATCCTTCTTTATTCCCTCTTTTCCCCTTCCCTTCCTTCTCCTCCCTCCCTCCCTCCCTTCCTTCCTTCCTTCCTTCCTTCCTTCCTTCCTTCCTTCCTTCCTTCCTTCCTTCCTTTTTTCCCTCTTCTCACTCTTTCTTCTCTTTCTTTCTCTCCTTCCTTGCTGCATCACCAGGCTGGAGTATAGTGGCACAATCATAGCTCACTGCAACCTCTGCCTCCCAAGCTCAAGAGATCCTCCCACCTCAGCCTCCTGAGTAGCTGGACTACAGGCATGTGCCACCACACCTAGCTAATTTTTGGGTTTTTTTTTTTTTTTTTTGTAGCGATGGGGTTTTGTCATGTTGCCCAGGCTGGTCTTGAACTCCTGGGCCCAAGCTATCTGCCTGCCTAGGCCTCCCAAAGTGCTGGGATTACAGGTGTGAGCCACCACACCCCACCCAAAACCTCGATCTCTTATTGAACATCTATTATGTGTCAGGAACTTGCTGAGCACTTTACCTCAGAGAGGGGAGAGGGGAGTGTCCCGCACCAGGGGTCCCACACCGGGGGAGAGGCAGGGCCAGGCCAGGGGCCCAGGACCCCTGACTCTTGAGGCCTGTGCTCTGAATCACAGAGCTGAACAGCCTCTTTCTGTGCTCTTTCATTACCTTTGCAGGGACGCTCTTCCTTGCTCTTCCCAGTTAGATGGTAGCTAGCTGTCTCCTCCAAGAGTCCTCCCAGGGCCGGTCCGTGCCTCCTCCACTCTCCACCACATTCTCTGGCCCATCGTTCATAGCTCTTTTCATAACCACAACGACCTCCTTCTTTGTTTACATGATTATTGTCTCTCTCCCCAACTAGACTGTGATTCCCAGAGGGCAGGGGCCGTGCATGTTACTCACTGCTGTGCCTGTGTTAAAGAGGATTTGGTTGTGCTTCAAATAGGGCAGACCTCAAATAACACTGGTTTAAACAATCAACGGTTTATTTCTTGCTCAAGTAAATCTAAGCAGTGCAGGGCTGGTAGGGGCTTCATGGCCCCTGGGGGCTCCAGGTCCTATTGCTTTGTTGCTCTGCTATTCTCAACACACGGCTTCAACCTCACAGTGCACAACAGCTGCTCCTGCTCCAGACTCCATGCTCACATTCTGGTCAGCAGAAAGGAGAAAAAGGGGAGAAGGGATTGCCCCTGTCCTTTAAAGAAAATTTCCAGGATGTGGTCCAAACCACTTCTCCTGGCATCTTATTGGCCAGAACCTGATCACATGGCTACATCTAGCAGCAAGGGATGCTGGGAAATGTAGTTTTGAGTCAGGTGGCCATATGCCCAGCTAAGGTTGGGGTAGGCTATTCTTATGGAAGAGGAGAGAAGAGACCCAGCAGTCTATGTCACAGTCCCCACCTCCTGGTTCTTAATAATAATAGTAGTAGTAATAATAATAATAGCTGATATATATATTTAGTACTTTACTTTGTAGTAATTCATTTAATCCTTGCAATAACACTCAAGGTGGGGAAACAGAGGAACGGTATTGGTCAACTCACCTACCCAAGGCCACCCGGCTGGTAAATAGCAGAGCTAGGATTTCAATCTAAGGCCACCTGGTTCCAGAGCTGACACTCTCTCCTTCTCCACCATCCCTGCTTAATCACTATAGAGTGGATGACTCAACCTACTGAATTTGCTCTTGTCTGTATGGGCCTCTTAAAGGGGCTGGGCACAGAACAATGTAGGTTCCTTGCCCTGCCCCTTCGGCTGGCCCAGGGCCTGAGCTGTGGCCTCCAGGGCTGAGCCTGGCCTGATACAAGAAGACTTAGAGAGGCCAGCTCCTGGAGGGGCGGGAGTTTTGCTCCTGACAGGGGAAGGAAGGGCGGGGACATCTATGATGGAGGGTTCCAGAGAACCAGTGGAGAGAAGGGACATGGAGGCAACCTCTGACTTCCTTCCAAAACTGAAACTGAGTCAGTGTGAAACGAGGACTTTCCAGGGCAGAGCAGAGGCTGGGGTGGCCCTGCCAAGACTCCTGGAGTGCCCTGATCTTAGTGGAGGTGAAGGGATGGACAGGCTCTTGTCGGGTCCCAGAGAAGCCCAGGGATATAGCCTACCCAGCGTGTCTCTAGCTCTCTCCCTTGGGCAGTGGCTGCTTCTTCCTGGGGACATTTTCCTACTCAGTCTGGGTTTTGTGCAGAAAGAGGAGGTCACAGGGACTCTGGAAAGACCTGACTTCCAACCTGTGGTACTACTGTCCTCTAGGGAGAGAGACCTCAGACAGTCTGAGGGTGCCATTCTCTCCCCCACCCAGCCCTGCCTTGGGCACCAGGATATCCACCTGTCAGATCCCTGCAGGCTTCCCAGCTTTGCCTGGGAAGCCCAAGGCTCCTGGTTCTTGTCCACATAGCCAAGGTCCCCAGTGCCTTTCTCTGCAGTGGGTGGTTGTGACCTTTTCTGTGCTGTTGGCCGCTGTGGTGTCTGGTGACACCTTTATGCCCTATCTTCTTTGTACATGCATAACAAATACATACGATTACACAGGAAACCAAGTCATGGGAAATATGGCTACTAAGATATTTTTAAAAACCACATTTAAAAACCACATTTGTGGCAGGGTGTGGTGGCTCACACCTGTAATCCCGACACTTTGGGAGTCCGAGGCGGCTGGATCAGGAGTTCCAGACCAGCCTGGCCAACATGGTGAAACCCCATCTCTACTAAAAACACAAAAGTTAGCGGAGCGTGGTGGCATGTACCTGTAATCCCAGCTACTCAGGAGGCAGGAGCAGGAGAATCACTTGAACCTGAGAGGAGGTGGCTGCAGTGAGCCGAGATCGCACCACTGCACTCCAGCCTGGGTGACAGAGTGAGACTCCATCTAAAAAAGAAAAAAAAAAGAGAAAATAAATCACATTTGTGATGTGATAATAAATGTGCCTCTTTACTAAGCATTAACAAGATGTGGTGGCGGGTCTGTAACGGAGTGATGAGTGAGATTTTGAGAAATCTGCACCAGCTTTGATGTGATGGGAAGACAGCCGTGATTTCTGTTGGTAACAGTGCTGCAGGTCCTGCTGACTCCTGGCTTTGCTGGGTGTGATCATCATGGAGGGAAATACTAAACTGTAGTTAGACCTTAGAGAAAATGGAGGTGGGATTTTTTTCTTTCTCCATCCAAGTTCATGAATGTCCTGAGTTCTACTCATGGCATACCCCAGGTGAGGGACCTCTATTCTGCTCCCGTAATTGGGGTGCAGACACCATGCCCAACAAGCAGGGAGTTTGGGGGCTGCAGGGAAGGGAGGTTGGGGGAGGGGTTGGGGAAGAGCCGATCGATCGCTAAGTGGGAGGAGTTCTGGACTGCACAATGGCCTGACCCCAGTAACTGAAGAATTGTGGAAATTGAGGGAGAGGGAGAAATCAACTAGCTTGCTGATTTCTCCAGTCTGGGGTCCTGGGCTGTAGAGTCCCTAACAGCAGAGGGAGGTGAGAAAGAGGGCCGACAGGGAGTGCACCAGCTGCAACTAGATGCAGCTGGGGAGAGTGTGTTGGTCACCTCTTGATGGACTGTGCTGTGGTAATGAACAACCTCCATGTCTCAGTGCCTTGGAACCACAGAGATCTTTTGGCTTGTGCTGGGTGTCAGCTAAGCTGCAAGCGAGCAGCAGTTCTCCTTCGCATCCCCTTCTCTCCAGGACCCATGCAGGGCCATGGTCTTCATGGTAGCATGGAAGCCCCATGAAGGCCCATGTCTGCTAAGCACGAGGTTTTTCCCTGGCATCCCTGCCTCTTCTAAACACGCAGGTCGTGCTCAACAAGTTGCACTGACCCACAGGACCCAGGAGGGGGGATTTGAGGGTATCCCCATCTTCCTAACAGACCCCTGAGGCTCAGAGAGGGAGCAAGAATCCTTCTATACTGCCCAGCAGGTACAGGGCAGGGCAGGCCTTCCCTGCTCCAAGCTCCTTGGACATGCCCTTGGTCCCAGGCCCTGGAGTCCCCTCCCCTTCCAACCAGAAGGGAGATCCAGAGCCTAGTGTGGCCCAACTAATCAGCTCCTGGGACCATTCCCGAACCTAGGAGGTACTGATTCCTAGGAGAATCTGCAGAATCTGTAGGGACTCTGGAGTCCCCGTCAGAGCAAGTTTCAGCTCTCCCTTAGGCCAGCTCTTACTTCTGGCAAGGGAGCAGGACCACAGGCCTGGGCCCACAGAGCCCAGCACCCTTGGGAGCATCTTTATTTATTTATTTATTTATTTTTGAGATAGGGTCTCACTCTGTTGCCCAGGCTGCACTGCAGTGGAAGCAGTCATGGCTGACTGCAGCCTTAACCTGCCAGCCTCAAGGCCTCAAGTGATCTTCTCGCTTCAAACTAGTTGGGGACTACAGGTGTGTGCCACCACATCCAGCTAATTTTTTATTTTTTGTAGAGATGGGATTTGCCCATCATTAGGCCACTAGAAGCTGGAAGTGCAAGGAAACGGATTTCCCTAGGGCCTCTGGAAGCAACACGGCCCCGCTGATGTCTTGACTCTTACTCCAGACTGTAAGAGAGTAAATCTGTGTTGTTTAAGCCACTGACTTTGTGATCGGTTGTCCAAGCTGGTTTCAAATTCCTGGGCTCAAGTGGTCCTCCTGCCTTGGTCTCCCAAAGACCTCAGATCACAGGCGTGAGCCACCATGCCTAGCCATTTTTTTTTTTCTTTGAGCCTCAGGAACATCTTGATGCCTTCCCAGGAAACCTGGACAGGGTCTCCCTATGCTCTGGGCATCAGTGATGGGCCCCATTCTTGCCCTGGGCAATGGGGGGCCATGGAGGAGGTGGTCATCACATTCAGGCTGGGGAGGAAGGACCCATTCTAGCCACAAAAGTGGATCCTTGCAACAGAGAGGCAGGAAGGTCAGAGCAAGAGAGAGGAGCCAGAAGATGCTACACACCTGGCTTTGAAGAAGGAGGATGAGGCCACAAGCCAAGGAATGCGGGCGGCCACTAGAAGCTGGAAGTGCAAGGAAACGGATTTCCCTAGGGCCTCTGGAAGCAACACGGCCCCGCTGATGTCTTGACTCTTACTCCAGACTGTAAGAGAGTAAATCTGTGTTGTTTAAGCCACTGACTTTGTGATCGGTTGTTATGGCAACAAGAGGAAATGGATGTAGGGTGTTGCTCCAGCTCTTCTCCCAGTTCCTAGCCAGCTCTGATGTTCCAGAAAGAAAATAGATGGTCTGTGTGGCCCTGCTTTGTAAATGATTAAAGGGCTGAGGGGCAGTGAAGGGAGCTTCTTAAGGCTACCAGGTCCCACGGAGCCCATGTCTGGGACTTTCCATCTGTGGTTTCTCCAGGAAATGAAACCTGCCTGTCTGCTGGGTGTGGCCTACAGGACGAGCAGGAGGCTCAGGATTCCAAATGAGAGGGAAAAATGTCCTTAGAAAGTAGTGTTGCTGGGTTTCTCTGGGTCAGGCTGTCTCTGCCACTGTCCTTCTTCACCAGGAGGTCTCAGAGTCCAGCGGTGACAAGCTCAGGATGGACTCCAGCTGCCCTGGGTGCCAATTCTCAGCTCTGCTGAGTTACCCTTTGTGTGACTTGGGCAAGTCCCTCCACCTCTTCCAGCCTCAGCTTCCTCCTCTGTAAAATGGAGATAACAGGATGAACTTACCTGGAGGACCCAATGGGATGCCATGTTTGTGAAGAGCTCGGCTCAGTGCTGGGTGCTCAGGTGCACCCCTGTGGGTGTCTGGGTGTGCAGGTATGCATGTATGCAGGTGTGCTTATATACAGGTATGCGTGTACAGGTACAGGTTGCAAGCCTGTGTGTACAAGAAGGCACATGAGGTATACGTGTGCAGGTATATCTGCAGCCCAGACGAGCATTCTGAAATTCGCCTTTGCCATGTCACTCCCCTGCTCAGAGCCCCCCATTGCTCCAGGGAGAAGTTGAAATCTTTACCATGGCCAGCACGACCCTGCCCGGCCTGGCACCTGCCAGCCTCTTGGCCTCATCCCCCGCAACTCCCCAGTTTGCACCATGTGACCTAGACCTGCCATCCTCCTATCCATTCCTTAAGCAGGTCATGTTTCATGGTAGTCCAGGCCTTCACCCACGCCATTCCTTCTGGAACACTTGTCCTCAGTCCTCCTCCCTGACCAGCTCCTACTCAGCCTTTGAGTCTATCACCTCCTCCAGGGAGCCTTTCCTGACGGCTACCCCACTGGAGTGATTGCCCCTCCCCTCTTACCCCATGGCATCTCCGTCCCCCATTTGCTCCCTTGGTCTCAGCACTAACTACATCTACAATAATCACTCATGACATCTCTCTTCACTCTGAGGCCATGTGTCCCCTGTCCCCAGTGCCTGACATGGGGCCTAGCCCGGAGTAGAGGCTCAGAACACTTTTGTTGAATGAATGAATGGATGAATGCACATATCTGGATGCATGAGCAAGGAGGTTGTCAGTGCAGAAGGAGTCTGCAGTATGTGTGCAAAGGTGATGGGGGCAGACACATGATTTGGCCAAGACTGTGCCTTGGAGAGGGGCTGGAGAAAGGGAGATGGACAGAGTGCCCACTCCCCATCCAGAACCCTTTTCCCTGTGCAGACTGTGGCCTTACTGAGGTTGCCTTATTGTGGGGAGAGAGGGAGGATAGAGAGAGTGGAGGGTGAGGGGGAGGTGGACGCCAGCAGTGCCAATATATTCTGCTTCATCTTCCCTTCCTAATCTCTCTGTGCCCTCCATCTGCCCAGCCTGGGCCCTTCCACTGGATGGGGAAGGGGCAGAACTTCCCAGGGTCACCAGCCCAGTGGCCCTTCTGGTGTCCCTAGTCCCCATCCCCTTAGCTTGTTCCTTGGGCCCCTGGTCAGGCCAGGCAGAGGCTCTGGGGGAAGAGGGCATAAGGGCCTGGCCTGGCCTTGGAGCCTAGAGAGCGGGCCCTGCCTCTTACTCATGCCTGGGGTGAGGCAGCCCATGACTGTGTGGCCTGGAGCAGGTCACTTCCCCTCCCTGACCCTAATCCTGTCATCTGTAAAATGGCATAGCAGCCCTTGTGAGCAGCCTTGCAGCAATTAACAAGCTCCTGCTTACAGAAGGCTCG